CCCCAAAACCCCAAAACCCCAAAACCCCAAAACCCCAAAACCCCTGGATCAAGTCTTATAATTGAAAATTATAAAAATGAAATCATTCCCACCAAAAAATGTAGCGTAAAATAGAACTTTCCAAGCCTGAGGTAGATGTTCGAATCACAAGAATACTTGAGCCCAATTTTAATGTGAAAGGGATAAAAACAAAAGATAGTTGAAGAAGAAACTGTCTTGTAAAAGCTAATTATGTCTAGGGACTGACAACCCCTGTCGTCATATTTGTCAATGCTGGAGTTGGAATTATTTCAGTGTCTAGGAGAAGATCGAAAATATTTTCTTGCTCCCAGCAAATAGTTGGACAGTGGATTTGCTGACCGAATAACTGGATGAAGCCTTCTTCATCTTGAGTAAGTACTCTGTTAGAATCAGAGCCATTGCAACCTCATGCACTAGCAGTGAGTTCGACGTCTTCAAAGTTGTCTTTAAGCTCGGTATAAGTTTCATCATTTCAGGTTCCTACATTTCTTCAAACAGCATCTTCATATCTTCCGGTGACTGAATCAATAGTGCAGTTTCAGAAGCATCCATCATACACTGGAGGAATAGAGCATTCATCTAGCTCTAACCACATAAGGTCTCCAGGTGAATCAATATGATATTGATAGGTCTCAGTTCACAAGTCTTGGATATCCTGAGTTGTATCGGTTAGGCAGCTTCCACTGATATTTCTATCTTCGTTGACATAGAAGTATTCGTAACTGCTGTAATAGTCATAATCCCAGAAAGCTAAAGTATTGTAGTAAGTCTCAATCGAATGATCATAGCCTCCATCGCTGTCATGGCAAGTTTCTTCAGTAGTCTGCTGATATCCATCATCTGCAGTGGAATATATCTGTTCACAAGTGTTGGTAAGATCTGCATAAGATTCAGTAGTTTGACAAGACCAGGGAGAATCTGCGAACAAATAGTAATCATCATAATTGCAATCTTCTTGGTAAAAGTATCCGTCATCGCAAGATTCTTGATAAGCTAGAGAGGTTAGCAGGTAACTTACAAGTTATGTAGCCTTCTTCAGTATCACATTCAGAGTCATGGGACATACATGATACCCCATACTCCTCATATGGAGAGCTAGTATAGTCTCAGTATTGGCTACTCGACACCACGAACTCTTCATTGAAAAATTGGCAATTGGTGAAGGCAATTAAAACAATTATGAGATAAAGACTCTTCATTAAATTTATTATTATGGTAATTTCTATAAATTTTCAATAAAAAATTTTCGTTTCGGGGTTTTGGGGTTTTGGGGTTTTGGGGTTTTGGGG